ATCATGCCTCACGCTCTCGTGATGCCTGTGCTGAGACAAGATGGGGATGAGGATAAAGATAAGATGGCTATTGGGGGTGTCCAGGTGGTCGTGCTCTGTTATCGTCCCCCATAAGCTTCCCTGTCTCTCTCACATGCTCAGGATGCAATGCGATGTCTCTTCTGGCAAGCAAGTTTCTCAAATGTCTATCCTCTTTCTACTGCTAACGGCTCGACGATAAATGAACCACCTCTACCCGTGTCTATCCATCCATCCATGTCTGTATGTCTGCATGTACATATCTGTATCTGTATCTGTGATGCATAACACACTGCCTTGCGCCCTACGCAGATACCCACCAGCTCAATGCCCGAAGCGGGCCATGATGGGGTCCTGATGGACCCGGCCGATGGTGTCTTGAGTTACCCCTCCTTCATGATGCCCAAGTTGTGTGCACCTTTGTGGGATACGGATGGTCGTCCTGGTGTCAATGAGTTTCTACGAGCGTCGGGCGTGGTGTCGTCTCGTCTCGTATGAGCGGGCTGGCTTATCTGCCCGTTATCACCCCTCCTTCGAGGTGGGCTACCTCTCTGAAAAGATGGATACATTACCCCTCCATCAAGACCGGACAATCAATTGAAGGAGGGGTTACCTTATCCCAACAGTAGGTATGGGTATCACTCCCAACACGATAATGGAAGCGCCGTCTCGACCAATGTAGCCCAGGGCAGCCAAATCAAGATTGATACCTCCACATGCCAGCGCTAAGGAACTGTCGACAATTGGACCATTGAACACTCTTCCGCACGGGTCACCAGAGCAGGCGGTACAGACTCTAATGTTAAGCAAGCAGGGAGAAAGTTATGCAAGGAGGTTGTGCTGGCAGACTTAGCAGTAGGAGGCCCTTGTATGAGAAGCTTCAATACCTGGTTTGAGAGATCACAAAAAGTCCGAGAGCGGGCGGCTCTCTCGCTTCAACGATTTAGCAGGGACGGACGATCCATTTCGGCCATGGCTGGATGGTGGCTTGCGCATCCATGCAGGGCATCTGGTATCTGGCATCTGGATTACCTATCTACAGTAGGTTGATTAGTCGTACGCGCATCTTGCGTGGCGTCGCTCTCCTGTTCTCTTCCCGCTCTGGCTGCTCGCCTAAACTATCCCTCCTCGGGCAGCACACATGTCCAGCTGGCTGCCAAATTTGGAACCGATCCCAAGGGGGGCCGCATCCTCCCGAGGCGTCGCATCACTTCACGGGAACCCGCATCCATGCTGCGCATCCTTTGCGCTCGTTGTCGTAGGTCCTTGTTTCTCCTGTTCTCTGCGCATTCTCAAAATCTGCTGTAGAACAGCAGCCCTCCACGCGGCCTATTGACCAGCCAGTAGCGAATAACTGGGCTCAATCAAAGGGGTCAGGATCGCAGCCAATGCTATAATGAGGTTGGGATGCAGAACAAATGTCCTCCCTCGAATGAATACCCCGTAAAGCCTTGTAGTTGAACGGCAATCCTATGTTGAGTATATTTAGAACCACGCGGCTTCCTTCATATGAATAGTCCACAGGCCAAGCGCTCCACGTTGAGCTCAGTCATGCTGAGAAGTATAATGGTCTTGCCCCGGGGTCCAAGAACTAGCCAGATCTCAAATATACCTGAACTTCTGGAGAGTCATATGCAGATGCATGTTGATCCAACACGGAGCTCGTCAAAAGTGTCGATTTCATGATTTGACCTGCTCGATGTATTGCTCAAGTGTGATGCCAAAGACATGATCGCGGCGATAGATAGAAGCTTTGAACCTGACCATAGGTATTAAGCATCATGTGAAATCGTACACCATTAAGCTGTTACCACCAGCCTCGGATTCTTTAAGAACGATGACCATCTCGTCATCGAACCCCACCCAATTTCGTCGTTCTTCCCAATCATTTACACGAGGCACCGCACCGAGTGTAGTTTCAGCTCCTGAAGCTGCCCCAGGAGCTTCAGGTTTGATCTCGACACTCCGGCTCTGAACAGCCGAAGATCGCCCTTCCAGCTCCCAGACCCGCATCTCTTCGCCCTTGGTACTGACACTGACCGCCCTGCCCCTTGATGTGATCTCAGCATCACTTATGCCAGATGTATGCCCCCAAAGCCTGATGCCCGGCGAAAGCGAGAGAGAGGAGGCATTAGAAGTGCACATGTGTAGTATCAAGGTATTGTCCGGTAGGGTGGCAAGCACATATGGATGTGTATAACACAAAGATGTAGGTCCTGCATCGTGTTGGAAGTCAGGACCCGCGCTTGATGACCCGGTGACTTCCGCATCTATCATCTGCGACCGAAACGGTGTTCGGGGAGGCGTAATCGGTACTTGAGAGGATGGTCCGGTGCTCACGGGTAAAGTGTAAGCGAGCCTAGTTGCCATGATCTCAGGGGCCGCTGCGGACCCGGCAGCAGGAGGTCGGATATGCAAGTCCTGTATACCTATGGAATAACCCTGGCGAGTTTCGAACGTGTATGCAATAGATGCTATCGTCGTGTTTGCCGTTCTTCTAATCGACAAAGCCAACGGAGGTTTAGAGGTATGCGATTTGAGAGATGTAAGAAGATAGGGACTCGCAAGGGCTGAAGATGCACTTTCCTTTTCAGATTTTGTACTGCTCAAAGGTAAATCTTCATCCCAGCCATCTCTTGAACCGCTTGTCAAAGTACCATCTGTATCGTCTTCTGAAACGGTCTCACTTCGAAGATTCTGATCAGCCATACGTATGCCTTCCACATCGAAGGTGTAGAGAGATATGAGAACCGCTTCTGTAGCTGTCAGCAGAAAGGGACTCGAGTATGCCATGGCAAGTAGTTGTCCGTTGCTGCTCTTTTCGTGACGGTACCGTAGCCAAATGTGCTTTTTTGACGTGTTTAGCCTCCAAACACCAAAACTCCCATCAACAAAGCCGACAGCAATGTCTACAGCATTGCACCCCAAGTGCTGGTCATCAATAGCTATGCAGCTCGGTGAAACGGCGTCACCCCCAGCGTGGATATTCCTCTGCGCCACGAGAGCTCTGGTCTTGAGATCCCACGCTCGCAAGCCTCCCAGCCTGTCAACGGTGACAGCTAGGCCCTCGATCACCTTTACCAACAGCTTAACCCCCCCGTTACGCTCAACGAGGTTATCGTCCAAGGAAAGCTTGAGCTCTTCCACGGCGCACTTGCCACGAGCCCAATTGTGTCTCAGCTTGTACTGCTTCTTCCAATCGACTCTTTCGTGTCTCGGGTCTCTAGTCGGGTTGAGCCTCGCTTCGTCGCTCGCTTCGTCGGCAGGTGTCGACTTTCTCTCATGGACCAACCCGCCCCTCCTTCCATCCGCCCACAGGGTCCGTCTCCCCATGTAATGAAGCTTATGACTCCTATCACTCTGTTGGCCACCGCTGCCGCCGTAGCTGTCGCGGAATCCGGGGATGCGCATAGCGCGTGGCAGCACGAAACGTGCGTAGTATAGAGCTTTCCATAGCTGCGAGTCTTCGGATAGACGGTGAAACCGGCTGGAAACGGGGGCGACGGCAAGAAGATGTTGGAGCGGTAGGAAGGCGAGAATTCGAACAAGGAGCTCGTCGGAAAGCGGTGAGAGGAGGTCTTGTCCCGTCCGCCGCGATATTGAGCGACGACCGACGGATGAGTGTGTCGACGAGCTGTGGGACGCAGGACCTCGAGTACGCAGCCTCTTGGCTGGGGGAGCGGCGGCTGAAGATGTTGCAGCAACGCTGGGGTCCGAGTCGCCGGGACTGCGGCGCTTTACGGAGCGCATCGTGATGCGGTCGCAGCAAGTTTCGGGGGACTATGCCCAGAAAGATTGAGGCATCAGGAGACTATATGTGTCCAGCTTCTGAACCAACCCTTGTCTGTCCAAGGGAGAAATTCTTGGGGATGAGGCGTCGCTAGACAGTCAAATCAAGAACTCGGCTTCGAGATGCGATTACGCTACCATAGAACAATTGAAGCTACAGTCAAGACACTTGATAGGTAAATTGTTAGTGGAACACGCTCCAGTGGTCCTAAGGTGGGGCGGGCGCCACCTGTGGAGCCAGAAGCTTTCCACCTGCAGGACAGCCGGCGAGCGGGACCCTCCAGGCGGATAAGGCTGAGAGACGCTCGATAACGTTAACTTAAACCTACCTCATCCAAGCAAGATACCTAGGTATCCAACGACATCCAAGATAACTCGGTCCGTCGAAAGCAGTACTACTCCCTGTCGTTCTCTGCAGGAGTGATTGCTCCCTAATCGGGCAAGCAATAAGAGGCCCCCACCATAGATTGGTCAGGAAATTGCTGAGCACAAGTTGAGGAAACGCTTGCAAAAACGGCCTCCGCGGATGCCGAACGGAATCGCCCAGGACATCTACCGTACAGAGTGCGTGTGTTAGTCAACGGCAAAGGAGCAAGCACACCTAGGAGGACTTACACGACCTCGTCCAGGGCATTGGGTAACCGATACGGACTGTGCTGTACAGTACTCCGCTTTCCCCAGATTATCTCTGCCTTGCATCCGCCCATTCTGTCTATTTGTCTATCCATCAGACACCACATCCAATCCAGTCCACCAGACAGACGAAGAGACAGCTCGGTCGCTTCGGGTCATCCGCGGGTCATCTTGGCCATCTCAGCCCTCTTCTCTTAGTTCAGCCAGCCACTCAAGACCAAGACATGCCAGCAGACAGGGACAGAGACCGAGACAGGGACTCTCACAGGAGCAGTGATGCTGGAGACGCCCTGAACAACGGCGTCATCCGGGCGGTACGCATGATCCCTCCCTCCCGCATTTCTCACCTGCAGCACTTGGAATGAGCTGAAGTCTGACATTGAGATTGAACTGGCTATAGTGTGACCAATGCCGTATCCGTAAAGTAAGTCCAGACATGTCTAACTCCATGACTACGTCCCCGTTCTTTCTTTTCCTAATCCTGGCCCGGTCGGCCCGGACGCATCGGGGCCCGGAGCGCTAATCAAGACGGGCCAGATTCGCTGCGACAAAGAGTCACCATGCTCCAATTGCCGGATCGCGCAACGTCTGTGTAGTTCCACGGGCGCCGGCCAGAAGCCGAAGGAGGCCCGGCAGAGGGTTCTCATCTCCACTCAATAGTATGTCATGTCGATCGAGTGTGATCGTCCTGCTCATCTGGGCTTTGAAGATCATCCAATTCTAACTTGTACGTTGACGATAGTGAAAGGAAGATTGACCAGATCGAAGAGCGACTCGGCGGCATCGAGCAGCTTCTTCGAAATCTCAGCACCACTGGCATCCAGAGGGGCTCTGATCTCCCTCTCCATGAGCCTCCCGCCGCAGCTGGGTTGACGCCATCAGTAGCCGGGGACACCTCAAGCACGGCGTATGACCGAGACGAGCTCGACTCGGCCTTTGAGGGAAACTCTTCTCTCACTGCTCACACCGTCTTTGCAAGCGAGTTTCTTGAGCACGCCGTCGAGCGTACCTCGCTGCGTGATCTAAGTCCCAACATGCAAGCAGCATTAAACTCACTTCAGCAAATTGTAGGCATGCAGAACAAGGCCTCGATATCTCACGAGGTCCGCTTTGCAAACCAGAAGCCTCTGCCAAAGGGCAACTTCCGGGAGCTGCCCATGCCTCCTCTACAAGCCGTCATCCCGGTGCTACGAGAGATCAAAGGTATATACATGACATTAGATCCTCTCCGGCTTAGCTTGAGAATTCACACATGACAATTATACTCACTGTCACGCAGAAACACCACCAGGCACGTTTACCCTCATATCTGTATGCTGTTTCATGGCAGTAGAGAACTTTGCAGAGGCATGTCGACAGGTCTATTTTGCGTTAGAAGATTTCTCGCAGGCCACTTTCATCATCGTCAATGCCGGCCTATACTACTTGTTCCAGGAGAAAGCAGTCCTCGCGGAAAGCGATGCCGCCGTCCACGAGTACACAAACTACTACGAGCTGTGTCGGGACAATGTGGAGACGGGTCTTGCGAATCTCAATCTTTTCATGGCTGCAAGCATGGAGAATATTGAGGCGCTGCTACTTGGAGTATGTCCCTTCACTTTCCCTCTTTGCCTCGGTTTCATTCGTTGCGTTCTGTAATTGACTTTACAACAGGCATCATACGCAATAGAGGTCTCGCGGCCATCATTGGCTTGGCAATTAAATACGACTGCCGCTCAATTGTGTCAAGCCCTAGGGTATCACCGAGCCATCCCGATGGCAACCAACAATGCGAGCGGAGAGATGGGCGTGAATGACAAGAAGGCCATTCTATTCTGGTTCACCTACATGCTCGATCGAGGCTTGGCACTGCGATTAGGAAGGGCTCCTATCATCCAGGACTTCGATATAACACTACCTCGAAAGATCGGCAAAGTCAATGCGCCTGACTTCTGGAAGCAAATCCTTCAACTCTGGATTGGCCATGCAGAGATCCAGGGTCGGATATATGCACAGCTTTACAGCCCGGGATCATTATCACGGCCTGTCAATGAACGTATAGAGTCCGCACAGGTACTGGCAGAAGAGTTGAAGAGGATTGCTAACGAAGCTGCAATAATACGGACCGAGGCGTCCGCTAATCTGGACACTTCAAAGGCCACAGTGACCGAGATGGTCATGAAATCGGATGAAGTGTCTTTCCTTTCCTCGTTAACTCTGGTCTATCGGGCGATCCCCTCGGTGGGAGGCTTCCCGGGGACTTTCAGTCCCGAATGTATCGGCACGGCGCGGGCGGCCATGCAAACGCACCAGGACTGTATGAGACTGATGGGCACGAACTCATGGGTCGCCGCCTCCTACATTCACTGGTGAGTATCCACCCTGGACAGCCCTTCCTCCCCTCCCTGTGGACAAGAAATCTAACACTGCCGCCTCTAGGACCATTCTGTATGCTCCGTTTGTCCCCTTTATTGTAATCTTCTGCCACATAATTGAAACATCCAACAATGTCGATGACCTCCACCGCCTCAAAGAGTTCATAGCCTCATTACAACCCACATGTGAGGTCTCGGAGGGTGTCGAAAAGCTTCATCGACTCTTCCAGGTCCTTTACAACGTTGCGCTTTTATATGTAGAAGCGAAGGGGCAGCAGGACCAAGATATGGCGCCGATCGGAAATGAGTTTGATGTCTATCTCAGCGCCCTTGGCTTCATGCCGGTGGATGAGAACGGCCAAACTGCGGGTATTGACGCGGCTGTGCCGCCGGCAGCCGCGGTCAACCAGACGGCGCAATTGGGTGATTGGTTCTCAGGTAATCGGTACATGGTCAATCTGCTGGAAGAAGACCTGTCGCAGTTTAATCCCACTGTATGGACGAGTGGGGTATAAATCGAAGGCCTCTCGGCCCTAATTTCAACGGCGCAAGGCTGTGTTGTCCAAGCATGAGCATGAATGTGAAGTCCCGTGTAATGACTGTCGCTTCGCAGCGCCACCGTAGTAGGAGGCATTGATGCCCCTTGAAGAGCCAGCCTTGTCGATGTCCGGGGTGGCGGCAGATGTCGAGAATCGTTGCAAAGTACCGCTCAATCAGTTGGGTATCTCGGATCGTATACCTCGTAGCCTTCATCCTCAGTATCGCTCTCGACCAGGCTGCTATGCACCACTGGTGTTTCCTTGTCCCGTAGTTCGTCTCTGATCCGAGCTTCCTTCTTCTCGGGTCCTGGAGCGACAACTTCGGCGTCATCCCCATCAACAGCCACAAACGCAGACTTGAAGCCCGACTTCTTGAAGCCGCCCTTCTTGAACCCCGCGCCGCCGCCGGGGGCAGCACCGCCTGCGCCCGGGCCGCCTTCCCCAATCTTGATGCTGATGACGCCGTCGGCCTTGGCCTCTGCCTTGCGGGCGCGGGCGGCGGCGTTGGGGTCGCGGACCATGGCCTTCATGTCCTTGAGGCGCTGCTTGTGGCTGTGGTCGTAGGAGCTGAGGTGGGCTTCGTAGTCATTCATGCGCGAGTAGCCCTTCTGACACAGCTGGCAGTAGAAGGACTGCAGCGCCTCGCGCGCCGAGGACGTCTGCGCCGGTGGAAGGGTCTGGTGTCGCTGCAGCAAGGATGGCGGTTAGGCTGTGGCCAGACAGGAGCCTGAACGCGGGGAATGACTTACTGGGGGCATGTTTCTATCTAATGCACTGGCTCGCCTGGGAAAGTGATTTGTCTTGTCTTGTATTGTCTTGTCTTGTGCGTAGTGACGAGGCCTACAAAGTTCGGTAGATATGGTACCGGTAGTGTATGGGAGATGTGGATCCGGAGGCACGAAGTTGATGATGCACCTTTAGGCTTTGGTGGGTGCGTAGCATGCCTGAGCTCCAATACGGTGGACGAATAGCATGCACTTGAAAATGCTGACCTCCACGCTTCAGGCGGGACCCCTAGAAGTGGGGTGTAAAACAAGGCTAATCCCCACCGCATTGCGTTGAGACTGTCCCAGACCCCCGGCCCCGGAAGCTTCTGGCCTAACCTTGAAAGCTCCCTTAACACCTTGAGAGCTGGTTGGAGTGAATCGCTTCACTTCCTCAGTACCTAGTCTCTAAACGCACCACTGCCGATATCCCTGGACGACAACGCCCTGCCTGGCTTCACCTACGTAAGGAGCATTCTCAATTGCATCGCTGGACGCATCGCCGACCGACGCACAGGGTCATCGATCGAGCGTTTCAACTCCCTCCCTGGGCGCGATTGGCGAAAGAGTTACATGGACAGGGGCAATGGACGCCGGATCCAGCTCCCTCAGCCCCAAGGCTTCCCAGGAGACATTCATATCGCTCTTGCAGTTGGAACCAGAGCCCATAGAAACGCCGCCGGCCACCGATAAGGACCTTCCTCCTCTCCCCGAAGACGCAGCCGAGGACCAGCGTGCGCCCACCGTCAAGGCCACCAGTACTGCCTCGCTGGGCCTCAGCGGAAGCGGCCACGGAGCTGTGTACTATTGTACGTCCATTTCCGTGCATGCTCACGACTGGCTGGTTAGAATTGCTTCGCTAACATGGTCTATTGTGCTGTCGCAGTGAGCCGTATCCAGAAGTACTCGACGTATTCTCTGTCCATATTCACAACCATCCATCTCGCCAACACCTCCTTGATACCGCTCTTCACCCGCTCGGTCCCCGCCTCCGAGTCCTACCTCCTACTCGCCCGTGAGATATACCAGACCTCTCTGACCGAGCCGTTGCTCGTGGGCCTCCCCATCATCGCACATGTCGCTTCGGGCGTTGCTTTGCGCCTGATCAGGCGGTCTCAGAACCTCCGTCGTTATGGCGGCGCAACTCCAGGGGTCTTGCCCTTACATCACTCAAAGACACATGCGTCCCATGCCGGCTCCTCAGGGACAAGCTCACCTCGGTCCGGACTGAGAATATGGCCGCATCTCAGCTACATATCTGCGTCTGGGTACGGACTGGCCCTGTTCCTCGGCGCCCACATCTTCATGAACCGCGGCCTTCCACTAGCTGTCGAAGGGGACAGCGCCAATATCGGCCTGGCCTATGTTTCACATGGTTTCGCCAGGCACTCAGCCGTGTCGTGGCTGGCCTACACTGGGCTTCTGTCCCTTAGCTGCGGCCATATGATATGGGGCTGGGCCAAGTGGCTTGGCCTTGCGCAGCGTGCCGGTTGGAAGGTGGACCTCAAGAGTGGGCACGCAACGGGGAACTCGGCTGTCGACAAGAAGATCAGGAAAAGGAGGAGGCGGATGTGGCTGGGCATCCACGGTGCCGCAACCGCCGCCACCGTGGTCTGGGCTGCCGGTGGACTGGGCGTCGTCGCGAGAGGTGGCCTGATGCAGGGCTGGCTTGGAGACGTGTATGATGGCCTGTATTCTACGGTCGGTCTATGAGACTTTATGAGTTGAATCGGCCAAGGGGTAATGTTCCATCAGGTTAGATCAGCTATTGTGCGACATTACATAAGTGCTCGGCCTCATCAGCGTATAAGCATAGCAGGAAAATACTAATAAGTCCTTGTTACTTTGCAAGTCCAGATTAATGTGAATTATATTAGTCCCGTGCTCCAGTCACAATATGCTGCCTGTAGAATGCAGCCAGCGTCAACTATATTGAAGGCTCGTTGTAATTGGGCGTGAGCCTCCGAGCCTTAGTCTCCTCTATTCACTTCGTACTCCATGAAGTATGTCCCGTATAGTCCCTGGCCGCCATATGGAGTGTCATCTTGCTCGAGCTGGTCCAGCATCTTGAACCCAAGTTTGTTGTACACGGGCTTGCCCTGCGGAAAAGCAAGCACGAAGACGTCGATTCCCATCTTTTCAGCCTGTCTCAGCCCGCTCTGAACAAGCATCGTTCCAATACCTTTGCCCTTATTGTCCGGGTGAACGGCGAGATAATCCAGGACTGGTGCACGGTAGCTACGGTCAGCATCAAGTCATTGGCAGTATTCACGCATGACTCCAGCTATGCTTGCCGCCCTGTCTTCAGGCAGTATCCGAAGGACTTTCACAACTTACCGATATAGTCTTTCTTGGCCAGCAGCTCCCTCTTGATCTTGGTAACAGGTTCGTCAAGTGCATCCATATGACTACTGGGACACCAGTCTGCCGACTCAGCGAGCTTGCTGAATTCCTCCCTCTCGGCTTCGCTGACGTCTGGTACTTGTGCTTCTGGCCATTGCGGTTCATTCGTTCCCTGAACTGTTACATATCCAGGCGGGAGTTTCCATCGAGCGTAGCCGACAATCTTCCCAGTTTCAGTGTCCACAGCTGCCTGGTGGCGAAGGATCACCCGGTCGCGAAGCAGGTTTCGAGCCTGTCTTTTTGACGATATGTCAATGACCTGTTCTAAAGTCCTGTGGCTTTTCCAGATCAGAACCCAGTTCTCGTCGGTCCAGAAGGCCGACATATTGTTCCGTGCCAGCGCATGGGCGTCTTCGACCGTGCAGGCCCTGAGCTGGTATTGGGGCATAGTGAATGGGCAGTGAAGCGTTGACAATTCTAATAATATAAGGTAGGAAGAACTCTAAACGCGTTGAGGTAGATCTGTTGCTTTTCTCTTCAACTCGGATCCGAGCGAGTTGCCTGAGTCTTCTTCGGACTCTGTTGCTGTGGGTTGTCGAAGACTCTTATATTCCTGTCGGACCAAATGACAGGCGATACAGCGCTGCAAAACGGGTTGAGCACTTCATGCTCTAAAGCCGTGGCTAGTATGCCATCCCTTATCGCGGCTTCTTAGGCATGCCATACCTCGGCGAGGTTGTGTTTTGGAGGATCTGAGTTGCAGGGATATGTGGCCAAAGTCTTCGAGAGTTGAGCCTTCAAGTGGGGCTGGCTGCTTAGCAATACCGACTACTTACAGCGCTATTCAGGACACCTTACAACTTCTTCAATATATGCACAAAATCCCTTGATAGATGATGAGTCACTGACATCACGAAATATGCACGAATCTATCGTTATCACGGTTCATGCCGCTATGATCAGGTCAGACTTGAAGCTAAGTCCCGACGAGGCGGTGAATAAGATCCTATGAAGCGGCTGGGACACGCAAGTTAGGCTTCTGGCAGACAGCCTGAGTGTCCAAGCTAGCTTTCGATATTAGGCAACAGTCGATGGTATCAAGTTTCAACTTGCATATCCGGAAGGTTGTTATGGATTGGACACGGTGTCTGGTTGCAGAGCGATGATACATGGTATAGTCTCAAGTCATTGATGACATAGCCGCGGAGAAAAGCTCCAACAAAATGCTTGAGCTCGCGGCGGCGGATTAGAGCTTGGAAGTCTTTGTCGTATTTTTTTCTTTCAGAGTTATTTTATGGGTCAGATCTAATAAATAGGGTGGATGGCATGAATCACTTCGCATGATGTCATGTTGGTCGTGCTATTAGGGGAAGATGGGTTTATATCTATCTTAGAACCCATGACATGGCTTGATGTATAGCTTTGGTTACAAGCCAAGGCGAATCCCCCCGCGAAGGCAATGGTCTAGAGATCCGTAGCCACTAGCAGCTCGGCGAGTCGACAAAGTGAAAACAGTACCATGAGGAATAATCATCAAACTCCATCAACTACGATTTCAAGTCACAAAAATGATCATGTACACTCGAAGTTCGCATAATCGCCATATTGTGAGATGCTTGGACAACCTCAAGGAAAATCAAGAAATATAGTGTTTGCATATGTCTATGTAGCAAAAAGTCATCATGAGTATATAGCCACTTGTACTGGTATTGGTCCCAGTATTAATCTTCAATTCGCACTAAATGCCCCAGTGATTTCAAAAATTCGAGAAACTTGAGAAATACAGCGCATATTCCCAAGCCTCCGCCGCTTATGTAAAGCCTGGGAAGATGTTGCCGCCGGGACATGTGTAGGTTGTGGCCTTGCTTGAATAAACATCGACCTGAAGCGGTAGAAGTGAGACATAGCCATGAGATTTATATGTTTCAGGGGAGCTTACAGTAATACCCGGATCACTCTGTGGTGCATAGCCCGGGATAGAGTACAGGTAGTCAGCACTGGGAAGCGTGCTACCAGACCCAGTCACGGCGAGTTGTGCACACTCGGCGTAGAACTGAGGAGTATTGGCCTGGTGGAGGGCCAAGAGCTCATGGCGAATCAGGTAGTTGCCCGGTGTGAGGTTGGACGGGATCTTGGACGACCACTTGAGGTTCTTGTAGACCATAGCAGTGCCCCAGTTGTTGGAGTTGAGCTGGCCACCCCACATGCCCATCTGATCGATCTTGAACCAGCCTTTGCCTGAACCGTCACAGCCGGCAAACTCGCCAGCACATTTGAACATCCAGACCATCACGGGCCCTTGTTGGTGTGTCCACTGCTTGTAATTGGCCGTGATGTTCTCCCCTGCCTTGATGGAGGCAGTCATGGATGCCGACGTGCCGCCGTTGCATCGCATCTTTGAGTCTGTCACCGTCATTGTAGGATTGTAGTCGCTCCATTGTCTTTGGATCGTTTTGGGTGACGTTGAAGGTGCAAATCCATCATAGCCAGGGTAGGCCGTACCGCCTATCGTGTAGCTGGTGACAGCACCGTGGCTGGCGACCAACGGTAGCAGCGAGAGCAAACCAATTGCGGTGATGGACTTCATGCCAGGCGATTTGTCTCGCGGCTTCTTTGTGACTGGAATTTTGGAACAATGACAAAAAGATGGAGCTATAGCCAGGTATCCAAGATAAGGGGAGATATCACAACTTGAGCACAAAACGAGGGCAAAACAGCCGGTACTGAAGACTGTGACTTCTAAAGGATTTATACTCTTCCAAAAAACAAAGCCGGCATTGGACAATGGCCAAGCTCTTTGGAGCTTGGCTTTCTATATCACGGGCCATCAACTACTGACAATTGTCTCGGCATTTCGTCGGTATGACGGTGATTGTTGCAACAGACACATTAAACTCGGTTCTCGTGCTGCCGTAGTGCTTACCTCTTTAATTTTAATCTGCTAAAGGGAAATAAGAGCAAGGGGATGGTCCGCCTCCTAGAACGGTGGCGGACATAGAGTTGGCATGTACCCAGACCAAGGGTCAAATCAGAGTGATTTGATGAGTATGGGACTTAATGGTTTGATTTAAGGCAGCTTTGAATAAGGTAAGCAATGCGATGAAGAGAGGCACGTAGGTATTGGGAGTTCAGATCCTGTGAATAATAGTAGATCAAGGGCTATACCCGCGGCGAGGCCGGGGCGAGCCAAGTAGAGTTGCCTCCTCACAGTTGCTAGGATGAGTGGTTGGTCTGCTGGCCGAAAGAGTGGCAGATGCAGGTCTCGTGTATAACGGTAAGGGTATAGCAGGTCTGATATTATCTAGTTGTAGACAGTGAGAACGGCGTCCAAGGGGCTCGCATGATCCAGGCTGTCTGGATAAACGCGGCATGGAAGTGAACAGTCGTTAAGCCAAGCACAACCATGTGGCGACGACGGGGCTTGGATGATGCCAAGAATCGACGACTACAGGGCTGCAAAGCAAGGCCTTGAGGTCGCTAAGGAACCACAACTCTTACACACCACCGACATCAAGCGGAGCAGATTGAGTCAAGAGCTGCAACTGGGATGAGGCTCCGGATCATTGGAACGCTGTCACCGCGTTACTGCTCAGGATCACACCAAGCAAGCCAATTGAAGCTGAGTTAAGGAACCGCAGAAACATGGCTTGGGTACCGTGTATCATTTGTCATGATCTAACAGGAACCTCGAGTGAGGTGAAATCGAGATGAGTTAAGATACCTACATTTGTAAGTCAAGCACGGCTCCACTTCACCTGCAGGGAAAGCTTAGACTCAGCACCGGCAGTGCCCGAACCAATGGGAAATACACCGTCATACTATGCCTATCCGCAGCCGAAAGACATTTTGCGCCGCCGAGATCAAGACCAAAAATTGCCCGTGATCATTGCCTTCAACCCGACACAACCAGCTTCGGGCGAACACTGCCAATTCAGTTGCTCGGCTGCTGATACTATCAGAATCTCCGTCATGTCTGCACTGACTGCCTACCGGCATCTCCTGCGAGCCGCCCGCATTGCCTTCGAAGGTGCACACGCTCAATCCCCAACCCCGAGGCAGTTCTCATGCTGACTGAACTTGCGACAGGTGACACTCGGGTCCTCGATGCCGCGCGACAGCAGATACGCGGCGGCTTCCGCGAAAAGGCCTCCCTGCCATCATCCGATCCCTCCACCGCCGCAGCCATCCAGCATGCCCAGGAAGTTGCCGCCTTCTTGAAGTCCAACGTTGTCCAAGGCAAGAAGGAAGGCGAAGACCTGTATCGTAAGTTCAGGATTCACCTCTCTGTGATTATTGCTAGGGCTTGCATGTGCTAACGGTTGCGTTTCTCCCGGGCGTAGGCCTACGAATTCACGACGAGACCGAACGAGGAGACAATGACACAATTAAAGTCGGTGGTGGCAAAACGATCAAGATTGATGGCAAGAAGTGTACCGACAGGTGAGAGACCAGCTCCTACGGAGCCGGACAGGCCTCCTGCACCGAATTGAAGAGGAGAACATAGCGCTATTGCGCATGGAATTATCGAGGCGCCACAGGACTTGGGCGACAGAACACTGGCGATGCCTCAAGGAGGAGTCAAAGACGGAGCGCTACTGTATGATTGCCGGCTGCAAAAGTGGAGCACGATACATGTATTCGATCAGGGGGCGAGCCGCAGTGTATAAATAACTAAGATACCCCTTCACTAATTGTACAATACCGGACCACGGCAGACCAAAACCGTCATGCTCAAGACCACGCCGTTGTTCCTGATGCTAAAGCATTGCCCAAGGGGAATATCTATGATTGTCCTCCAATGTGTAAAACTCCGTAACGCCAACCATGAAATGTGCCACTTTTATCTTCGTCCTATCAGTTTCCAGCTAAACTAGCATACTGCACATCGGCAGCTCCTGGTGGTGCGGCGACGGACAAAGCAGCCAGATCCCCCTGCCCTCCCGGTGCCGGAAGTGCTCCTGCACTGCTACCGCCCGCGATCGCATTCGGACCGCCCCTCGCTTTCCTGGCCTCGGGGAACGCTGACCGCCCATCTCTCAGCATCTCGGCTCGCTCCTCGCGGTCCATCGTCCCAACAGCCTTGGGCATACTCCACCTCACTCTAAGTGGGCAGCCAGCGATGACGGCTCGTCCCTGGCAAGCAGCAGCAGCCTTCTCCGCGGCTTCTCGTGTTTCGTAGTTGACAAATGCGCAATGGGACATGTGTGAGCAGACCAGCGACTTGATCTTGCCGTGCGCCTTGAAGAAATCGCGGATCTTATGTTCGGGGAGGTCGTCCTCGATGCCTGTCACGAACAAGGACATGATGTTCTTGTCAGCCGGCGGCAGCCAGTCCTTCGGAGACGGTGGGAGCTGCGCCGTGCTGGGAAAGGCCCCTCCTTTGCGGCTTGCACCGCCCGGCCTTGCACCAACTGCACCAGCAGCTCTCGAGTCCCGCGTGCGGATAGGACCGGGGCCACCAATACCTGCGCCGACTGCTGGGTTCCCACCGCTGCTCCCACCGCTGCCGCTGCCGCCACCAGATGCAGAGGCCCCGTCACCGTCTACCGCCCTGCCTTTCCTGAAGTACGGCTTGCTCGTGGCCAGCCTCCTCAGCAGCTCACGGGCCTTCTCGTCGGTCTTCTGGTACTCCTCGACACCGCCGCTGCCCTCCTCGATGGCCTTTTCGTTGTTCTGCGCGAAGTACTCCCTGTTGATCTCGGAAGTGGGACCGGGCGCGACCATCTTGAGGGCGGCGTCCCTGACGACGATGGGCAGGCCGAAGGAGAGGTCGAGCATGCAGCACTGGCAGCAGTTCTTGAGGCGGGCGCAGGTCAGGCAGATGTTTGTGCGCTTCTTGCGGCCGTGGGCGCGGTCGGCGGCCCAGCTGAAGACGGTGAAGGGGCGGGTGCAGAGCTTGCACTCGGCGCCGTAGTCCTCCTTGAGCATCTTGACGTAGGGGTTCTCGGGAAGGCAGTTCTCGCAGACGGAGGGAAAGTCGGTTGACTCCCAGCCCGACCGGTTGAGGTCTTGTTTAATCTGGGGCGGCATTATGCCTAGAGCTCTGTCGTCGAGGAGGGGTGTTCAAGTCGATCAGGGTCGGGGAAGCTGACGGCCAAGGTCTAGCGACCGTGATCGAGTGAATCTGAGGATCAGAGAGATCGGGATATCGCGGTGAGTGATTCCTGGCTGTCGGTTCCTTGCAGAAGTTGTTGGTGAGAGTGGTGCTGGTGGGGTGCAACTACTTTTACTTTACTTCTACTTTTGCTGTCGGCAGTCTCATCGATCAGCCCATACATAACCAAAAAATGGGAAGTGGCGTTGCGAAGTGTGGCGCTGCGAAGAAGTGTGGCTTGATTTCTAATCGTGCACCTCTATCTCAGAAGCTGCAGGTGCTTTATGGTAGGGTACCTTTGGTGGTCAAGAAACCTAAACCAACTACTATTAAGCTTGGTATTAATGATACTTGAGTAAGAAGACATATGCCAATGCAAGAAGTAGTCAACATGTAAGCAATAACCAAATACCAGTTCTTTAGCTAGCAGAACATCTAATTCATTCCTTAGGTAGATTTCTTTCCCGACCGTAAAATCTAAGGATGGGATTTGCTAATAGCACCTGGGCTATGGTGATAGATTTGGAAGTATGGACTCATGATTTGAGAACTTGTTTCAATTCATAGGTTTCCTTCACAAACAGATTTGGCTATATGATCAACAGTCCAATTTGTTGAGTCTTTGCCGCTTCTACACACCTCACCAAACACTGGAAGTACAGGCAGGACGTGAGCGATCTGGTATTTGATTCGCTTCGTTCGTATTCGGGTTTGGAAGACAGATCTTAGCGCAGTTCTGTGCCGTAATCGTAACCGCGAGCTCTGCATGTGGCATTCAGGGTTGCATTTCTGCCACTGCTGACCACCCGGATTGCTGGGAGGAAAACACGTCCACACCTCATTTCAGGCCTTTTAACTGCACTAAACTCAGATGAGATAGGGAAGATAAGGCAGACAAACGATTGGACCCTTTCTGTACTTCTCTGAGCGAGTTCTTGGATCCCGACACCATCATGCTGCTGAAGGGGAGGCGGCAAACAAATAAATAACAAAAGGGCTTGCTGATGCTATTGTTGCTGTGCCTCGAACCACCTGCAGGGCGGCCATGGATGCCCACTTGATAACCTGAAGTAATGAAGCCTCCTTAACTTGGGTATCTCAAGTTGAGATGAGGTTCCCTGGACTAGGGATGGAACTGGCTAGGTACATATGGAGGTCGCATATGCGTTGCCGTAGAGGTAGTCCAATTGTCCAATTAATTGCCTGAGGGGAGGGCCGCCGCGTATTCGTACATGTAGACGGGAGGCCAAAGAAAAAAAAAGTGGCCATGTCGAGGTACCGCCCACACACCACCAGCCCACATGGGCCGCCAGGTACCTGCACACTTAGCCCAGGAGGTACCTCCCTATCCTGGGGAGGACCTCCATCCCGAACATAACACCGCTCTTTTTCCTACTCTCTCCTTCACACATCACACGTTCAACACTGACTTCTTCCACCCAATTGCCCTCTTCGTCCTGCCGCGATCCTTCTCGGTTGCTCAACTAATCGACCCTCGTCCTACTCGCTTCTCAACTACCGTGTCAATCCCCCCAAAATGGCCAAGGCAAATCTCGAAAAGGAGGATCACCAGCGTGATGCCGCTTTCAACAAGGCCATGCACGGCAAGACCGCTGGGCAGGCTGCCGGTGTCTCTACCATTCTGTTCAAGGATAGGGATGCCAAGAAGGCTGCCGTCGACGAGTACTTCAAGCACTTCGACAACAAGAAGGCCCTCAACGAGACCGATGCCGACAGAGAGGTAAATCCCTTACACCCCCTTTTCCCCCTCCCAAGCCATTGGGCACAACAGAATCAAGTTGGCTGACCCTCTCCGCTTTACAGTCACGCACTAAGGAGTACGCAACTCTGACTAGACAGTATGTGGCTTGTGATATCCTATTCTCTGCAGTCTGTCTGAAGTAGTTGGGTGCGAAGAATTGCCTTGCTAACATATCGCTCTTCTCCCAGCTACTATAACCTTGCGACAGACATCTACGAGTTCGCCTGGGGCCAGTCCTTCCACTTCTGCCGCTACTCGGTCGGCGAGTCCTTCTACCAGGCCATGGCCCGCCACGAGCACTACCTCGCCCACTGCATCGGCATTGAGGAGGGTATGAAGGTCCTCGACGTTGGCTGCGGCATTGGTGGACCGGCTCGAGAGATCGCCAAGTTCACTGGCGCACACATCACCGGCCTGAACAACAACGACTACCAGATCGACCGTGCCACGCACCACGCTGCCAGGGAGAAGCTGTCTAACCAGCTGAAGTTCGTCAAGGGAGACTTTATGGTACGTTTGACTGCCTCATCTTGTCCTGGTGCACTTTGCCTCTTTCTTCGCATATTTGCGCCGACAAGACTGAATACAAGACATGGGAGTGTGAGTGTAAGAAATACTGACAATGGCGTGATAGCAAATGTCGTTCCCCGACGAGACCTTTGATGCCGTCTATGCGATTGAGGCGACGGTCCACGCGCCCAGCCTGGAGGGCGTCTATGGCCAAATCTTCCGCGTTTTGAAGCCCGGCGGTACCTTTGGTGTGTATGAGTGGCTGATGACGGATGCCTATGACAAGGAGAACCCCGAGCACCGTGAGATCCGCCTGGCTATCGAGCTCGGCAACGGCATCTCAAATATGGTCAAGATCTCGGAGGCTTTGGACGCCATGAAGGCCGTTGGCTTTGAGCTCATCCGTCATGAGGACCTAGCACAGCGCCCCGACCCCATGCCGTGGTACTGGCCCATTGCTGGCGAGATGAAGTACATGCAGTCAGTAGGCGACTTCTTCACCATTGTGCGCATGACGCACACCGCCCGAATCTTCACCCACGGCTTCGCGGGACTGATGGAGTGGATCGGCCTGGCCCCGGCTGGCACCAAGAAGACGGCAGATGCGCTCAGCACGGGAGCCGACGGCCTGGTCGCCGGTGCACGGCAGAACCTGTTCACACCGATGTACCTGATGGTCGGCCGGAAGCCGCTCAACTAGGGAGGTCGCGTACGGTGATTGAGGCGCACCGCCACCTATATAATATTGCACAACAGATCTCTTTCCTATTGGGTCTAGAGGCATTAGACACGACACGCCCTGAGGCGATCTAATGAAGGCGTGGCATTCGGGGCTGGGCGTGCAGCTCTAGAAGGGGGAACAAAAAATGTAGCATTTTTTAATAACTGCTTGAGTCGACGGGCAAGCGTTGCAGCCTGCTGTGCGCCTCGAGTTCACAGACCAGTCAGCAGCTCGCAGCGTCATCTTTCTTCCGTGTGTATACTACAGACAGTTACCTACATAGATCATCGTAATGTCTTTTATCATGAGCAAGGAACAGAAGCTAGCGTTTGAGTGCCTCTTGCAGCAACACTTGAGAGAGCAGATCCATAGTGGATCGATGTGAATATATGTTTTATTGCTTCAACAGTTAATTGTCTTGACGTACCCCTGCGATGAAGCATCCAATACCTAAGCAGATATTAACTTCGACATCAGTGATGGGCTCTATCACGTTGACAGAAGCACAAGCAATGTTTCATCGTAATCGTACTGTCTATCTATTCCTTCCTGCCATGACATGCTAGCGCAGGAAGGAGGAAAATGCCCATCTCGATGAAGGTTTATTCAATCATTCCATGAGGAAGACCTACATAATTGAAATGCTCCGCCAGTCGGGATGCAGAGTCAAGAGACTAACGATATTGGGTCTAGAGCTCGAGAATTGGCCGCCCAACGGACTGGAGATGGGAACTTACCTAATCAACCGCTAATTAAGGTGCACCTGGCTTTGCTCGCTGTAGGTGTGGGCGAGCCACCTCCAATCCGTTGAGCTCCAGCAAGCAGCAGCAGCTTACCTTAGCTAGCAGCCGTGGACCCCCTAACACCCGTTGTTGGCCGCGCGCTGCCGCCGGAGTGTGAATGAGCGAGAAAAAATTCCCTCCAAAACGTTGACAGCCTCCGTCTTCCGGCTTCATCCCTCCTCTTCGCGCTCTTCAAGGTTGTGACGATCCACCCCCAAACCTCCCCATCACCATCAATTCGACTCTCGATCTGCCCAGCGCAGTTTCGTCTGCTTCAATTCTGCAGTCAGTCAGTCAGTCAGTCAGTCCGCCCGCCCATCCTTTGTGCACCGTCTAGGAAATCCTGTGCTTTCTTGGGGTTGTCCGTATCCCCCAATTGATCGTCGCTATCACCAGCTTCGTTGTCGGGGTTGAATTGAGCTGATTGATCGGCCTGCCAGGAGATAGTCGTCCGCCTCAACCTCTCGAAGCTAGCCATCTCACCTTTGATCTAATTACGGCACCTCACCGTCGCCATGTCCCGCTACCTCCGACCGGCCGCTCGCCTGGCCGCATCCGTCAGAGCTCCTGCATCGCGAACCTCAACCCTGCCCTCACTATGCGCCTCACAAGTTCGACCTGCCACCGCCTTCGCCGCCCAGGCGAGGACATACGCTGCCTCTGCTTCCGGCTCTAAAGATTACACGGTGCGAGATGCTCTGAATGAGGCTCTTGCCGAGGAGCTCGAGGCCAACGACAAGGTCTTCGTTCTAGGCGAGGAGGTTGCCCAGTACAACGGCGCGTACAAGGTCACCAAGGGGCTGCTAGATCGATTTGGTGACAGGAGGGTCATTGACACGCCCATCACCGAGAGTGGTTTCTGCGGTCTGGCTGTCGGCGCTGCTCTGAGCGGACTGCACCCTGTCGTACGTTCATCTGGACTGATGTTCTTGTTCTCCTGCGATATGCTAACGTGACCTCCCTGCAGTGTGAATTCATGACCTTCAACTTCGCCATGCAGGCCATCGATCAGATCGTTAACTCGGCGGCCAAGACCCTGTACATGTCCGGTGGCATCCAGCCCTGCAACATCACCTTCCGAGGACCCAACGGTTTCGCCTCCGGTGTCGCGGCCCAGCACTCTCAGGACTATAGCGCGTGGTACGGAAGTGTTCCTGGTCTGAAGGTAGTGTCTCCCTGGAGCGCTGAGGACGCCAAGGGTCTACTAAAGGCTGCCATCCGCGACCCCAACCCGGTCGTCGTGCTCGAGAACGAGCTGTTGTACGGTCAGACTTTCCCCATGTCCGAGGCTGCACAGAAGGACGACTGGGTCATTCCCTTCGGCAAGGCCAAGATTGAGCGCGCCGGAAAGGATCTCACAATGGTCTCCCTCTCTCGCTGTGTCGGCCAGAGCTTGGTCGCCGCAGAGAACCTCAAGAAGAAGTACGGCGTCGAGGTTGAGGTCATCAACCTGCGATCTGTCAAGCCCCTCGACATTGAGTCTATCATCAAGTCCGTCAAGAAGACGCACCGCCTCATGGCCGTGGAGTCTGGTTTCCCCGCATACGGTGTCAGCGCTGAGATCCTGGCCCTGACCATGGAGTATGCCTTTGACTACCTTGATGCCCCTGCTCAGCGTGTCACCGGCGCCGACGTCCCCACTCCCTATGCGCAGAAGCTCGAAGAGATGAGCTTCCCCACAGAAGCCCTGATCGAGCAGCACGCCGCTAAGCTCCTGCGCCTGTAAGTGCTGGTAGACGGGAAGGAGAGAGATGTGGAAGCTTAATGAACAATCGCGAGAATCGCCCGAGCACAGAGAAGCAGAGGATGGGCCACGCTACGATTAGAAGCTGGGCCATTGCATATTGAAACGAGGTTCAGGCTATATGGCTGTCTGAGCGTAAGACGAACTGATAGACGGGGCAATTAGGAAACTGTACTTCTATATGCTGCTTTGTGATATATAAACAGCCATACTTTTTGACTAGTGCTCCACTCTCCTGCTTGATCCTCGTGCTCCAGTTGTCCATATAGTGTTTACATAACTTCGTTGCTTATTCTTCACAAATTGGTCATATTTCCCATCTACTGATCGCACACGGTCTCAGACGAAAGACTGGGAGAATATGATCTTCGTTAATCTACCAACGACTTCCCGCATCGAGATCAGGGGACAAACTCTCGTATCCCATACAACCCTCCTAATTCTGGGCATACTGCGCAGCTGATGGGGCCTCCCTACTCCTTTTCACCATACAATCCGGCCACATGGGCCTGCGCCGCCAGCATACGAAGGATCGTCGCCTCGAGCAATGCGGACATCGGCATGGCCACGGGGACAGGCATGGTCCATGTGCACTCCCGACGGCCACCCGAATATGACGTTGCAGGCCGTCGAAGTGAACCCCCGGGCCGGCATGAACGCCCATGCGTTGCACCCCTCCTCCACCTGCGTGAAGCACTTCATGCAGCACTCCTGGGCGTTGGCGCTGCCGTTGATGTTAAACTTCCAGCCGCCGGCCACGCCTGAGATGCCCATCCAGTTCACCTTTGCTATGAACTTGGCTGGGTTGCACGCCGCTATGCTAGGGGTCTGGAGCACGAGTGTCAGCATCGCGTCGTTTCTTCTCGAGGAAAATACGAGGCCTTACAGCTGAGGTTGAAGCAGTTGAAGAAGTAGATGACGGTCTGAGAGTGGTAGAGGACGTGACGATGGCCGTGGTAGATAGAGTTATTGAGGATGTCTTCGCAGAGCTGGTAACACTATAATTAATATATTATTTATTTTTTTGGAGCGAGCGTTTCCGGCTCACGACCGCATCAGTCTCAACCTACCTGGTGTGCTCTGTATTTGAATGTTGACTGACAACGGCCACGGCAACGATCGTAGCAATCAGGGAGAGGAGAAGGATCACGCCGGCAGCAAACAGCCAGTACTTGTGCAAAGCTGCCCAGTCCTTCACTTTCTCCCATTTCGTTAGCGGCGGCGGCGTGTCCGCAGAGATTCCGTGCAAGGCATCTATGTTGTCAGGCTGCAGGGGCGCGCTCAATGTCGTACGAGGCTCAGGAGCAGAGGCTATCATGACCTCGGGAAAAGGGTTGGTGTCAGCTTCTGCATATCGTGCGATTGGCAGGAGCTCATTGCCATTAGCGGATGACATTGGAGGTGAGTTCATCTTCATAATGAAGCTCTAGTGGTCTCGATGGCATGCAGTGCTTGGACTGTCCAGACGATCCTATGTGGTGGGTTCAGCGAGTGACCTATATTCAGGAGCCTTGCTTGTATTGGAAGGTCAACCTACCTTGGGGGGATGTGAGAAACGCGGGTGTTGCCCTACGCGTTATCTGGGAAAAGGGGGCAATAATAACTGAGGACGGTCTGAGTATCAAACAAATCTGGCACTTTTGGTTGGCAGCAGCGGGAAACACGCGCGCTCGTCGTGTAGTGCAAAGATCGGATGTCAGTATCGAGAAAGAAGGCACCAGAATAGCAGGCAGCGTTGCTATGTCAAGCATTTCCTTTCTGTTTGCAGAGTGTGGCCGTCCAAGTCGAGAAAAAGGCCTGTATTTTATCCATAATTCGATCACTGGCTTCTCTTCCTTCCCTTTCGAACCACCTCATGGCCACAGTGGGCCACATCACTCACCACCTCTCGAACGCAAACGGCAGCACATCATGTTTCCTGGTATCCGCAGTCGTGATGATATTATATACTATCCAAATATCGCGACGGTGTCGCTCTGCATCACTGCTCTTGCATGTCCTAGCAGAATACATTGGGCTTCTATGCTCAAGCATCCTGCTTGTTGCCCGTTCACGAGTAAGCCATGTTTTTTTATACCAAGCCGATCAAACATATGTGTTTGTTACTTGGGGATAGGCACAACGATGCTGCACCGGCTCAACTCATAACTGCCATCCTGTTCGCTGGGCATGCAAGCACGAACAGTGGCATACATCTGCGGAAGCATTGGCATCCTTATGTGGTCCGACTGCCTCCAGCCTCCCTCTTCTTTATCATTAGTCAATCGGCTGCCATAAACCAAATACGAGAACAGATGCCCGCTTTCAGCCAGCAAACTCAAGGCCGAACCAAAGTGTTGATACAGTATAATCCCCGGTGGGTTCGTAGGCTCACCAAGCTCAGGAACTAGTACTGAAGTAATAATTCTCCCACAGATACTCATAGTCCTCAAGAATGCCTGCTACCAAGCTCGGCATTCTCCGCCTTACTCCTCCGACAAGGCCTTTGGTGAAGTTCTCATAAGCTGCGCCCCTCATGGTCCACCATCCCAAGGACCAGCCTCTCTTGCTCCATTCGTCCCGCTCGAGGGCCGTTGTCCGCAATCCGCGGTCTCGCAACTGGCGGGCTGCGAGCTCGATGCTCAGGCCGATGAGCCATGGCGTCCAAGACTTCTTGTTCTTGGCACGGGCGAGGGCAATGACGTAGACAAGCGGCGCAAGGATGTGAAGGATTTCGGCGGCCTGGGCAGATCCGCGCAGAGAATTGAGAAGTCTGGTTGCGGGCTTGATGTCGTCTGCCGTCAGCACGCGGCTGAGGAGGTAACCGCTGATATCGGCCGGGTTGGGAAGCGACGGCAGTGGCATGCCCGTCCTCGGCATGGTCCATTCCTTATCGTTGGCCGACCTGAGATGGCCGTTTGTCGCAGAATCATGGTTCTCTGTTCCATGTGCACCATTAGACGCGGAGTCTTCATCGCCATCCAAGAAAACGCCCGAGTCAGCGTCGTCATCATCGGCATCTTTCACATCCTCGGGCACAGGCTCCCGCTCGGGAAGGGCGGGCGTCACGAGAGGGCGCGAGCGGGTGATGCGCAGAAGCAGCAGACGGCAGAGAGCCTTTACGGCCTCGATAAGCATCACGACCCTCCAACGAATACGTTCACCACGTCGCTTGGCAGCCATTTCACAGAGCAACTCGGTGTACTGTACGATCTGCAGGACCATGGCGACCCGTCGGTACAGCGCGCTCTTCTGGGTCCAAAACCGGGTGTAACGGTTGTGAGGCGAAGGGCTTCGCGCGGAAGCGGGAGACTTGGAACCGCTAATGGCGCGCAGCAAAAGGGTATCGTGGTATAGAGAGAGGAGCTGGACTCCGGAGTGAACGGTCTCGGAGGCGATTTCGGCATCGCGGAAGCGTCCTGCAAGGAAGTCAGTATCTGCTTTTTGAAGGGCAACCGCGCAGCAGGTGAACATCGTGCAGCGCGACGCAGCATGGTACATACCGGGTATGATGTAGGTCAGCGACCTGAGGGCAGATTCTATTTGGGAGACCTGACCGGCATTCTTGGTGATGAAGTCATCGTACATGTGCACCCACTTGGGCGGCAGGGCGAGCGCATTGCGAACGCTTGCAGCGGGATTCTTGGACCACGATGGAGACGATGAAGAGGTCCCGCGATGCACGTCTGCCGGTAACGACATTGGAGAGAAGAAGGAGTGTTGAAGTCGACGTCCAGTTGAGACCCAGACAGGAAGAGGATTCGGGGTTGTGATGCGTGCCCAACTCTCAGAGCGACTCCTGCGTAGCAGTCATCAATCGCATGACGCGACGATCAAAGGGAACAGTGCCGCTGTGACGATAGACCAAACAAGCAGTTACGAAGAATTGCAGTGATGAGGCCGCAGACGTTGTTTAGTAGTACAGATGTTGGTAGGAGTAACGATGATGTGGTGAGAAGTGAATGCGCGCGTCAGCTCTGGCGATCGCCAATTAAGCATTTGGCCCGACAGAGAGCCTCGGCCCAAGAGTGTCCCTCATGCCTTATGTAAACCAACTTGACTAGGTACCACCCCAGCCACCCACCTCCGATTGCATCTGCACTAACATGCCCACTACCTACCAAACCAGATACCTGGCCAGTGTACGCTATGTACAATACAATATTGTGGTACCTGCCTGAGATAACAATTGGCTCTTCACGTATTTCGTCTAATGCAAGCATCATAATTAGAGAGTCCGTTCAAAACAATTCATCACTACAACCTGGTTGGTCAGGGAGAGTGGGTAGAGTTTGGTCTGCCACTAAGGGGATGGATGCACGAACGCAAGCGTTAACCAGCTGGGATCTCGGCGACGCCATTAAGCACTTCTCACCCCACAGACAAGTATTACATGATTCTTCTCTGAAATATAAATACGAGCAAAGGTATATAGCGAAAAACCCTCTTGGAATACATAATTTTACTGTCTGTGTTTGCTACATACTCCTGAATCTTTGCTCTCGCTCAACGCCAACACTCTTGAGGCCCGGTGCATTCCACGGCGTCAACTGGCTCAGCTGAGTCATGTTTGGCCCCTAATTTTGGCGATTCTCTTCTGGGCCGTCCCCACGATGACATCCTCCTTGAAGATGGAGAGAACACTGGGATGCTGGCTGACGGCTTGTCCCCACTTGTGGAAATTGGGCGCCGACTGCTCGAGCGACTTGGAGAGACTCTCCGGCAGGAGGCCGTGCTTGGCGAATGTGAAGAGCCGTAGAACAAATGGCCCAGTCAGTGCCTATTTTTGATTGGAATTAGTCGCCCCGTTCTATCCGCTGTATATCGGCGAGTTCGAGAACTCGCTCAGCTCAAATGCATGCAAGCAGAACAACTCACCTCGGCCAGCGTAAGCTTCTCGCTGCCGCCAAAAAAGGGGCCCGCGTTGGCGAGCAGGGGCTCAACCTCCTTGATGATGGCGGCTACGACATCCTTGGCGAAGGTCTCGGACTCTTCGACCGAGTAAGCATACAGACTCTTGGTGTAGAGGCCGTTGACCTTGGAGAACCAGGCGTCTACGAAGAAGGCAATTCTTGCGCGAGTGAGCGGTCCGCCAGCATCCGCCGTTGATGGCACCAGGGTCGACGGATAGGTGTCGGCGAGAAACTGCGCTACAATAGCAGACTCGGTAATAACCTCACCGTCAAAGGATAGCGACGGGACCAAGCCCCGAGGATTGACTCTTAGGTACGCCGGTGTACGAGGGGTATCCAGGTCGATGATCTCCTCTTCGTACTGAAGCCCTAGTTCTGCTAGGACAATGTGTGCCCTGTGTGCCCCTGTATGAATTATTAGCAGGAAGTAAGACGCCAGCTAACCATCTGACCAATATCTTGGTCCTGACGCAGAGAAGACTTACAGGGGCATCTATGGTTGGTGTACAACTTGATAGCTGGAGCCATACTTGAATATCTAAGTTTAGATAAGATATGCCGGCGAAGGTGCCAAGCTATGCGTCAAGGTTGTAAACTTTGTACAGTAAAGCGTACTGTTGCTAGCACGTCTTTGGATGAAGCAAACGTATGTAACGTATGAACGGAATTGGCGTTTGGTGGACTATTTTGATCTCGATATGTGAGAGTATATATGTGAATGAGAAACGCAGGCAGACAATACTCGTCTCTCAAACTTTATCGAGGCGTCTACACTGTGTTTGTATTAATAATGTTGACGGCCACCGGCCAACCCCAGACCCGGAGCCCCTCCCACAAACGATGCGGCCATGATTGCACCATCCGGGGGCCGACTTAGGCTATTCAACCGATGCGGTAAGGTGGATGGTGGACATCACCCCCGCGTCTTGCGAGCGATGCGGTGCTCCAGCCGCCATATGACGATGCCCGCCTCGATAAGGACAGCTCTCTCATTCGCTCGCTCAGGCATTTCTCCTTGCCTATGTAGCTATTATCTGTTGGTCCGCCGCTGGTCTTAGACCTGGGTGTGTAGGTCTTTGTGTAGGGCCTCGATACTGATGGATAGGAAACCAAAAGGCCCCCCTCTTATCCCCGAGAACCCCCGCGGGTGCAATCCGCCGGTTGTCGGCGCGCCATCATTGATGCTATCACTACTTTTTGCTCACCAGCCGAGCAAACCCCATTCCGGTCAAGATCGTGAGTTTTGTAGCTTCGGCGTTGGGCCGGGCCCGGATTCGGTTTCCATAGTCCGAGTTACAGTCGGCCGACCCAAGGGTTGTCAGCATCTTGCGGCGGTGGGATTCCTTCCGTATGCGCCTCTCCGCAATCCTTCCGGGCGCGTACCGGCTGGCTACCCCTGGTCTATCAACAGATATGCCTGCCCAGGTGGATAGTCATGCCCGTGGCAGCTCAGACTAAGCAAAGCCTCTACATAGAACTTTTTTTTCCTTTCCCCCTTCTCGATCTTTCACTTCTTGCTCGTCTTCTTCCTTCCCCCATTGACTGTCTCGGGGATGTTTAACTCGACCTCAATCTACTCTGGGCTAGGCCAAGATTCAACTCGGTAACGTAGACTTGAACACATACTTGCCTGTCTTCGATTTGGAACAATTGCATCACCGTCAGCGGGCAGTAGGTGTGTAGTCACGCACTCATGCAACCCGTTTATCCTCCAAAGAACAATTCAATCACTGTGTTGAGTATGACAGCCACGTCTAGCGCCGAGCACATGGCCTTGAAGGTCAAGACCGAGATCTCGGAGAAAGTAATAGTCTCTACCTCTAGATGCCTCTAGTCTAGATAGATAATGAGAACTACTCGAGCACGAAGGAGCAATGGGGACCTGTCTTCATAGACGGATTGACTGCCTAACCTACTAATAAGCATGAGAAAAATGAAATAAGACGCATCATCCTTGGTAGGCGCACGTGGTCTTCTACATCCCTATTGCTTCTTCTCTGTCAGCACACTGCTGGGTCCTTCGACGGGCTTGTTGCTTGCCGAGTTTTGACAGTAACAGAACCAGAGTAGGCTTGGCTCTTTGGGGGGGCTTATTACAGGAAGCGGGCACGTGCTGGTCTGATTGACGATGATGATGGTGCTGGCGCTGGTGCAGCTCTTCTGTCCGGATCTGGCCACCGAGACGGGGATTCTAGGTCCCAGCACATGCAGCATCAGCAAGCATCATAGGCTTAGGTGGTGATCGCCTACGGCGCAGCACAACTGGGGATGGCTTCAGCTTCGCCAGATCCACGAGCCACGAGCATCCCGCCCCACCCGCCGCATCTTGCACACTCCAATCGCTGATTCGCCCACCACCACGTGTTGGACCACCCATGCCGAGCAGAACAAAACATGCCTGCAAAAGACATGCTTATTCCCGATCTGCATTTACACTATCTGATTGTCCGTCTGCACCTAAACATCATCGTCCACCTGCATACAGCGGCTAGCCTGGTCTGATTTTGTCTGGCTCGTGCTTCTAGATGGAAGAAGATTCGGTAGCACAGCTCAGTATGGAGAGGAACAGGCTAAGCGGCTGAGAAACACTGGGATACATCGCGTATACTTAAGGGTCCCCCATCCCCTTGCCAATGCTACCTACCTTGGAGGAGGACCTGGGGATAGTTCCTACTGAGTGAGGGGTCCGTCTTATTGCCAAGTAGCGTCTTGATAAGTCGTGCGGGCTCATCATCATGGTAGCTAAGATCGTCTACGCCGCGGCGATTGTGTTCAACGCGCTCGGGGCTCTCGCAGCCCCAGTGTCGAACAACACCCAAGCCGTCTTCTCTACAACATGCAACGGCAACAGCTATAGCTACGACAAGCTTGCGGGCTACGGCTTCGTCCCGAGTGACTTCCGGGACAAATACGGCGATACCCTCAGCATTGGCTCGAGCATAAGCATCAAGTCTTGGAAAAAGAGCGGGTGTGGTTACGAGGGTATCCTCTGGGGTTTGCCGGATCGCGGCTGGGTAAGCAGTTCTGGAATTCATCTTTCCCTATTACGCCGCATTTGAATCGCCGGAGGCCAAAACACACCACGGAGTCGAAAAATCATACTCGATACACATCTATCGAGGTCCCTTTTTGCTCTTTAATTATCCTTCAAATACAATTACTAACTGCAAAATCCAGAATACGGAGGGTACTATAAATTTCATTCCTAGACTGCACAAGTTCTCCATAAAGTTCACGCCTAAGGGAAGTGCTACTGCTGCAACCCCTGCCTCTCCAAATCTGCAGCTGGAGTATCTGGATACCATTCTGTTCACTGGTCCCGACGGAACCTACTGCACTGGTCTGGACCCCGACCAGACCGGCGGCCTCGAGTATCCGGGATTTCCAGTCCTGCCAACGGCTACGTACGAGGGTGATGGCTTCGGGGGAGAGGGACCCGGTGGCAGAGCTATCAGCGTCGATTCGGAGGGGCTCACCATTGCCGACGACGGGAGCTTCTGGGTCAGTGACGAGTACGGCCCGTATCTCTACCATTTCAGCAGCAGTGGGCAGATGACCGCAGCCATCCGGCCTCCGGATGCAATCCTCCCATTAAGGCAAGGCGAAGTCAGCTTTTCTGCCGATAGCCCTCCCCGTTACGACCCCGACCTGGAGCCGACCCCTGCCGACCCGACGCAGGGCAGGCAAAATAACCAGGGATTTGAAGGCCTCACCATGAGCCCAGACGGAAAGTCACTTTACGTTCTGCTTCAGTCAGCTGCTGAGCAGGAAGGCGGTTCCAGCTCATCTACACGCATTCCCGTCCGGTTCTTGAAGTACGATCTAGAGGGAGACGATGGCTGTGCAGCAGACGATGCCGGCCCCGTCTACGCCGGCGAGTGGGTGGTGCCCCTGCCGACTTTCACCAACGCCGCTGGAAAAACTCGGGTGGCCGCACAATCCGAGGTACACTTCATTAGCGACTCGCAGTTTCTGTTCCTCCCCCGCGACTCAAGCGTTGGCCGTGGACAGGACGATTCAACTTCGGTGTATCGCCATATTGACATCTTTGACATTTCCAGTGCGACAAATGTCATGGGCGCCAGTCATGACGCATTCAACACCTCCATTGCATCCTCTAGTAAGTGCCATGCCCGTGATCTTAGCCGGCCCCTTGTCCGGTAACTAACCCGTGATCCTTGCAGAGGGTGTGGTCAATTCAGACGTGGTCGCGGCTACAGTATGCCCCTTCCTCGACTTCAACATCAACTCAGAGCTGAACCGCTTCGGACTCCACAACGGCGGTGACCAGGATGCCGGGCTCCTGAACGAGAAATGGGAAAGCATCGCGCTTGTCCCAGTCGACGGAGAGGATGGCGCCAATGATGAGTATCTCCTGTTTTCGGCGTCAGATAATGATTTCATCACACAAAATGGTAAGTTCCCGTGAAAGATGGCTCGAACAAACGTATACTGACTCTCTAGGCTATATGAACGGTGGTAAGCTGCAGTATCAGGATGCCTCCGGGTTCAACCTGGATCACCAAGTTCTCGTCTTCAAGGTGACGCTGCCCAAGGGCAGTAAGCCCCTTGTCGCCTAGACATAGCTCACTTTGTGCTTCTCCGGTGTTATTCGAGCTAGATTTTGTTCTATCATGAGATCCACTACTGCTCGCCGACGATGATAAATATTTACATGTAGAATTATATTGAAGCTTGTTTTGCTTCATCCTAAATCGCCGACTTGCTCGGCAAATTTCGAACAACCCACAGGGCATCGTATTCCAATGAAATGTCTCAGCCCCTACGATCGACGCCAATCAGAAATTCAAGTTAACTACATGGCTCACGGACGACTGCTTTCGTTGGTCGTCTGGAAAGTCGCATAGTGACTACTAGGTAACATGCTCATGGCTCAACGGATTTGTCTATAGACGACCGATCTGTTGTTGAGGCTCGTATAGATTACGGCCAGAGATTCTGTGTTTGCCACACCCCTTCCTGTGTCATACCGCTATATCGCAGTCTCTTGTGTAAACGATCTGTTGCTCCCTGCCAGAATTCAGCGCTATTTGGCAAGACAGCGTATACAACCCAACCCGGTGCTACGTAATCTGGCTGGCCATCCAAGAAAGCCTGGGCATCAACCAAACTATCACGCAACTCGTCTGATGTACGCAGTACTTCGCTTTGCTGCGACGCAATGGCGCTCACCTTCGATCCGAGCGGCCGTGCTTTGAAATCCGCAGCACACTCAGCTTCCGAGAGCGCCACTGCCGTCCCTCGAATGCGGATCTGCCGGCCAAGCTGTGACCAGTAGATCGTGAGCGCTACCTGTGCATTGGCGGCGATCTGCCGGCCCTTGGGGCTGTCCGCCTTGATCGCAAAGTGCCAGCCCCGCTCGTCTACGTTCTTCAAGATGAGGACGCGAGCGTCCGGACAACCGTGCTCGTCGACTGTGGAAAGGGTCATGGCATGTGGCTCTTCGACATCATTGGCAATGGCATCGTCGAGCCAGATTTGAAATGCCTGTTGCGGTGTCGGCGGTGGTGCGTCCCAGCAAGTCTCAGCAAAAGGCCCACGTAGACTAGGAAGAGCGCGAAGTCTTGATTTAATAGATTGTCCTAGTGTCGCCATCATCAGTCACTAGCCTTGGTCGTGGGCTTGAATGTCTTAGATAGTAAGACTCCAGGGGTTAGTTAGTTTGGGAAACATGGAAATCCGTTGTTGTCTAGACGTTTAAGGTTATTATATTTACCTAGGTGGGTACTTCATCGGGTTTTGTGTGACTCAGTCACCTAGGTGGATCACTGAAAAGACAATTACCATTTGCGGTGTGTCATCGGGCTATCCCACGCCGTGTTTACACCACTACTAATAGATTATAGAGAAATAACAACACCTTGTGTCTCAGCGTTCAAGCCGTTCTCGTATAGGCTAGTGTTTAAGGAAATAGATAAGCTTCGTTAGTAAGCCTCCTTGACAAAGGTTACGGCTGGAAATATACTTCTCTGTCACCTTAGCTTTATGTTTGGAAAGGATATAATGGTATACCAAGAGATCTTCAGTTGAAGTAGTATAGCTTGATATACTGGTAATAGCTAAAAGCAAAGTGTCACGACTTGTGCCACCAAATCCGCTGGCTTTTGACGCCGCTTTCGCCGTCCTACACACACAGCGGTCTTCTTCCTCCACCTGCCAGATTTCAGTCAGAGCATGGGTATGGTGTTAAAGTAGCAAGGTCAAGGGACCGCCCATGCCTACAACATGGTATTGTCAATCTTCTTCGAAGAAAGAAGTAAGCAAAACGTTCTGCTGACACTGAACCCTTTTACGGGTAGAGGAGCGCTCTGCTGGTTTAGCGCGAGACACTCGGCGCCGTTGTGACTCTCGTCCCCACCTACTCATGCTTTCTTCTACTTATGGCACGTTACGAACCTCAAGCTAGACTCGGAATAATATTCCACCAATGTCTTCTTTAAACCTCAATACAAATGTCTAATCACTCAGCTGGGTTCCCCCATCGATATAATACAAATATAGACTGAACTTGGGAGCTGCCGCAGCAGCGCTATCTTGTCTTACGTCTTGCTGTCTTGGGCCTGGTTTTAGACACCCCCTGAGGCTTTGCAAAAGCCTCCGTCTTTTGGCCAGTACGCATCCGCCTCGGTCTTGCCCGTGAGCCACTAACACATGATCCCGCAGTAGCGCTGCCAGATATCTTACCAGCCGTCTTGAGCTTAGCCTTCTGCAGACGTTCACTTCTTCGAACCGGTACAGGAGAAGTCTGAGGAGGGTTTGCGGGAACCTCTAATCTATCAGAAGATCGCTGAGCCTCGGATAGCAATGTCGATAAGTTCCGTCGTTGTGAAGAGGCAGACGTGACCTTCGTGCGATTCTTTGAAATCCTCGATGGACGGAGTGGGCTAAGCGTAGGGACTGCCACCGTCTCCTGCCCCTGCTCCTTATTGGCGACCGAAGTTCTGTTGCCTCGCTGCCGCCTCTGCCGAGGTGGAGGGGGGTGTTCTCCTTCGTTCGTTGTGTGGTGGTCTTGTGAATTTGACAAAGAAAGGGTGTGTTCTGTGTTGCCGTTTGAGAGTCTAGCAAGTGTATCTGCTGGAGATGACTCTCTCTCAGACGAAGGAAATCTGAATCTGAATATGTTTACACCTGAGAAGGCTGCGGGAGGTGGGGAAACACTCGGAGTTCTGGATGGTTGGTTCAACTCAGTGGGGCTCTCCGATATGGTAACCTCACAGGGGTGAAGGAAACCTTGAAATGCGTCTGCTGGAAGTCGAGCGAAGTCATCGCCCATCTCTTCGCGACATAGATCCCCAATGTATAGCTCATGCTTCCATGACATGCCGGGCAAGATACCCCATTTTTTATACCAAATCCCTCTTTTTAACCAAATTTCCTTCACTCTCTCGTAGGCCATCGTATTGATGTCGTGAGGGGTCGCGACCGTGGCCCCTTGGGTGTTCGATTCGTTCTGTGGTGGTTGGACCGAATCACCGACTGGCAGACCAGGATCGGACACGCCAGGTGCTGCCCGTTCATGAAGTTTCATCTCATCTTCGATCTTTTCGCGCTCTTTGGACACCTGATAGATAAACTGATGAAAGGGGCGCGATGCATCCCGTTCGCGCGCTCGCGCAGCATGTCGCTCCGCAATCAGCCTTATCTCCTCATCAGTCTTCGGCCTTCGCGGTTGTCTCTCTATCCTTTCCGCAGAAAAGGAGAATAGAGGTGACCCAACACCTGCCTCTGGGTCGGGCTCAGGTTCCAGCCGTTTCTCATGCATCCACCGAGCCGTATGACGGTACAGACCGGGGCACTCTGAAGTCCACCTATCATCCCAGATACCCTGCTTAACCCAGCGCTTCTTGATTGTCTCTTTGGCGATCTTATAGGTTTGGCTATCAAAAACTTGGTCACTCCAGAGCGGCGTAAAGATTCGATTGTGTTCTTCCATGGCTTGGGCCTCGAATTGTTCTCTAGGCCATGATTCGCGCTGCTCTCGGACAAGCTTCCATTTCCAATCGGCCAGCCGCTGCTGCTCCTCGTCCTGTGGTGTTGGCTGGGAGGCGGTTGAGGTAAGTGATAGAAATCGCCAAGAAGGGGGGGGTTTGTTGAAGCGCTCTCTGTCAATATTGAGTCGCTCTGGATTTTCGACGAGAGCTGCAAGAGCTGCATCAACCCTCAGTAGGTCGAATGCTAGAACCATGCCGGCAAAATAGTAGATTAAAATCAGTCAGATGGGTCGAATGTGAAAAACAAAACGGAAGACTGTCGAAGTGAAAACAGTAGAAATGAAGGCAGGGCGTGTTCCGACGCCTTGGAAGTGCTACCGTGTGTTTCTTTGTTTCTTTGGAGCGTGGAGATGAGTGAGGTAGCAAAACACACCAGTGAGGCCAAACGATTGGCTGGCAGATGCACCATCCCTTGCGACTCACGATAAAGAATCACTTTTTTTGCGACTCATGACAAAGGATCGGCTTTTTCTCCGCCTCACGACAGAGGATCACTTGGCTCAGCTTTCTCCGTCCTCTAACTCAACAAAGCTCAGTCGACAGAGCTCAGCAGCCGGCCCCTCTCGATGGCCTAATTGAAGGTGCAGTTCAACGGCCGTAAACCACCGCAGGTCGTCAATAAAATGAAAGATGTCGCCAGTCACAGGAAGCTGCTTACTTGCTTCTACCGGCTCAGCGTCATTCCATACTTGTTTCTTTCCGCCTTAAGGCACATTCCCCTTCGCATTCACTAGAGTGTGTCATTCAAGCATATGTCTCCTCACCCGCTAGCCTTGTTTTCTCTCTTTCCCATAACTGACCCAGCCAAAGCCGTTGTCCAGCACCCATGCAACAAGCACCTTGTCTCACAATTGGAGAACGAAATTGTTCTCGATATCGGCCATACCCGCTCCATTTCGGGAGACCATGCAACCCTGGCAACGTTGGGCCGTCATGGCGACATCACGATAGAAGGCCGCAACATTTCCAGAATTCAGTGCTCGTTCGAGATCGACAATGAGACCAAAGTCGTCATGTTCTATGACAGATCACATAGCCAGACATGTCAGGTCTTCGGCGAAGGTGCCACGCCATTCGTGTACGGACGTCCTCGTAAAGTTGTCGTGCAGCCGAAACTCAACACCATCATTGGTATAGGTGGTGTATACCGGGATCTCATACAATTCGAGCTGGTTTGGCATACAAACATTGATACAACGAAGGAGTGGGTGAAGACGAGGGAGAAAACTGCCCTCGCAGAGAATGCCCGTTTCGCACGAACGGTCGATGACACCGACACGGTCCTGCCGACTGGAGTGATGACCAGAATCAATACAGCAGGATCGCGCCTGCAAAGAATAAGATATGAGACAATAGGCGATAGAATCGGGGCTGGACAGTCTGCAGAAGTGTATAAAGCTGTTAACGTGGATACGGGCCAGCTTATCGCAGTTAAGATCTTGAAGTGGTCGGTCGGCTCAGCAACGCAGAAAGAATGGATGGCCGTGAAGCGTGAGATCGAGATCCACTCCAGCATCAGCCATGTGAGTTAGCTTCCGATTCTGTCGACAGTGAGGACTAACAGTACT